TAATTTTATTTAAATTCTTTTTTAAATATTATTTTTATTTAAAGATGAGGAATCCTTCCAGGTTTATGTTACTATTTAATTAGCATGTCACTTTGCTCCTTTATTATCTTTGTTCTACTTCCTTTCTCTGATATGTCCTTTTTAGTGAATGAGGTAGTCTTCGGCTGATATGATGATAATGTTATATTTAACAAGTCCAATTATTAGTGTTTGCGGCTTGGTCCGCCTGTGCCCACCACGTCCACCACCTAGTTACCACTATACCACAACAAAGAGAGACGGCCTAGATATCTACACACTACATATAAACGAATATCACCTACCCATACAACGCTGCTCGTCGATATCAGCCTCAACGGCTATTGTTTGTCACCCTCACCGCGGGCGGGCTGCCAGGCTACGCCATCTTACACCCAACGGGTACCTGGGGCTGTTTCGGCCGGCACTGGTCTTTTCCATTCAGCTAATCAACAAGTTAGCGAAACCTCTCCGCGTCCTGTTGTGTCCTGCAGACAGCTGCACCAATTCGGATCATACTCTGGCTTCGCCGGGATCAATACAAGGCGACCTTCTCCCAAGGTAATTCACAATCTCGTTACACCAGCTTGTCTCAGTCCGTTCCGGTGCATCACCTACGGCATCTGATCCGCCCCATTCCACCCTACATACTGACCTTACCTACATAGTTTGTGTGAGTATCTGGGCACCGCGGCGGAGATTTATTACCCGTCTCCCGCCCCCCATTGCCCTCTTGTCTTGGTCAGATCAAGGGACTACAAACTCATGATATATTCGCCAGACAGCCTCGAGTTTATCATGTGAACGCGCTGAGTTTTCACTAGCACAGATCCGTCACACCGCTTTCCCTGTAAAGCTCTTCACTCGCCGTTTTTCTTTCTGCATACTCTACACATTTACCCCCTTTTTTTGACTTACACCAACCATCATGGAGGTCGACACCCTGGAGGCACAAGCCCCAAAGTCTGCTCCTTCGCCCGAGCCTCCCTCTGGCAATGATCCCTCTGAGCCGCCCAATGGCAAGGGAAACCAGCCGCCGAAAAAGACAACAGTCAGAAAGAGAACCAAGACTGGCTGCCTCAGTAAGTGTTTACCATGAGCTTGGGTGTCACTGATGAGGCGGGCCTCACTCTTCAGAATCCTGTGCAGGGCTCCCGCTGACTCCCCTTTTTAGCTTGCCGCAGACGGCGAATCAAATGCGACGAGGGCAAGCCCACCTGCGGGAACTGCATCAAGTCCAAGAGACAATGTGAGGGATACAACCAGCGCATTGTCTTCAAGGAGTCTATGGGGCCGTTTCCTTCTGGCCACCTTTGGGGACATCCTGTGTACCATCAGCAGGCCCAGGAGGCCCTTCTGAACGCTCAGCTCTCGGAAGCACAAACCAAGGCTGCCTCGTCACAAGGACCGCTTGCCGCTATTGCTCCCAAGCCGCTATCCGTTGATTTTTCTGGTACCGGGACGCACCCTTACTCTCAGGGCTTTGCGGGACCTTCCAACCATTCTATCGCTGGGCCACCCCTCTTTAGCCCGCAGCACATCGACCCACAACAACATCACTTGCCTAGCCCGCCGCTCTTGACTCCCAATACTGTTCAGTATCCCGACCAGTATTCTTCACCTGGGGACGGGTTGCCCTTCTCGGACTATTATGGAGCTCAGACTCAACAGCCGGTTAGCGCTCTTGGACATGTCTCCCCCATTCATGGTCACCATGGTCAATATTCTCATCCTCAACCCCATCCCCATGACCAGGGCTATGGCCATGGTCATGGCCAAGACTT